TATAAAGGTGGAGCCGAACCATCTCTGTTGTAGTGCCTGCACCTCGTGACCCGGTGGCGCGGAAGATTCGCCTTCGTCGCATGAAGGATGCCGGTGACGAAGAGAGTGCTGGCCAGGTGGTCAAAGGCATGAAGGACCTGGCTAAAGCACGCCGTGCTTCGCCAGATGAGCTGGAGCCAGCTCCTCTCAAGTAGGTACCTTCCTTTGATTACAAAGTCAAATACTGGGCTCAGCGCCGTCGATAATCACCTTTGTTCCGGCAGGAGCAAGAAGGCGGCGGAAGTTGTACAGAAAGTCCAACTGGACTATAGTGAGTTTTTCGACGAGGATACCGGCCAGAAAGAAGGTGATATCCAACATTCTTTCTCTTGTGCACCAGACCATGAACATATTGGTCTTGTGTTCGATCATCAGGCTTGTCTTGCTGGGAGATTGAAAATTTCGTCCCAAACCAGATTGACAACGGTGAGTGTTTGTTGACGCTCCATGAATGGCGATGCAAGTCGAGGAGTTAGTGGCAACGATAGTCAGTCATACATTCTTCGTGTCATAGCTTTGATCGGCAAGTTTTACGAAGCCGACTGCTACATCATACTACGGACATACACGGAAAGCGGCTCCGATGCATTGAACTGGCAAATTTTCTTCTGGATCGGAGCGAAAGCCACGGTGAGTCGTATATCACTCTGTCGAATAAGACTGACTGCTTTATTGTAAGGCTGTAACTGTATCTTGCAAGGGAATTTTGTAGTTGGACAAGCGAGCCTGCGCTGCCATCCACGCAGTTAACTTGCGCAACTTCTTGGGAGCCGAGTGTCGAACGTCGCGTCAGGAACAAAACGAAGAAGAGGAAGAGTTCACCTCTCTCTTTCCCCACGGACTTGTCTACATCGAAGGTAAAGAGACTAGGCACACGACGTTGGACAGTCTAAAGATGGTTACCTTCAGGACTGGGGGTGGTTTACTAATCTGTACCTGGTGTGCAGGTGGTCGAACTGCCAGTGGATTCTATACGGTGGAGGATACGGTAAGAACTGCCCAACATGCGTTGGCATTCAATCTTTACTGTTCTAGCAAAGGGACTGTGAGAAAGCCTTCAGCTTACGTAAGGTTGCTCTTTGCAGAATCTGGCCACTCGCTTGTATCGTCTTCACGGAACCAAGAGTCTCCACTTGGAAACGGTATCACTTTTTCTCAAGCAGTTCGTAATTACTTTCTTCTCCTACCCTGTGGGTGTTAGGTTGCCGTATCGCCACACAGCCTGGATCCACGATTCGTCTTCTTCCTTGACGCCGGCAAGAAGCTGTATGTCTGGATTGGCAAAAAGTCCAAGAATATAACCCGCTCAAAAGCCAGGTATGTCATTACAGCAGTGAGCGGGCCCGCACTTCCGGTCTGAATTCTTGATCTTGCCGACACATACCGCGATGATGTGTGTGTACATTTCAGACTCTTGGCTGAGAAGGTGAACAAGATCGAGCGCAAAGGCAGCAGCGAAATCGTGGTCTTTAACCAGCGAACGGAAACACAGGAGTTCTGGAGAGCATTGAATGCTCCTAAAAGTCCCTGGATGGCCGAAGAACCAAAGGTTAGTCTTTTGAGTTTTGAGGGTTTCTTCTCCGAAAGAGGCTTTTTTCACCCGCTCAGCCTAAGCGGTAAACTGTCGGAACAGAGAGGGAAAATAATGTGACGAATTCTTTCCGGAAAATTACCCTCAGTGCTGGAAATGTTAAATAAGGAAGTGACGAAGCTGTTATGTGTTTGCAGATGCATGTTCCGGAGGATTTTACACCCATTGTTCCTCGACTGTATGCCATCCACCTGGGTAAAGGCTACTTGGAACTACCTCAAGGTGATTGGGCATTACCACTGCAATCCAGTACTGGCCAGTGGCCGCACACTTGCTAGCGTCGGTCGTTGGCTCAGGTCGATTGCATCATGCTTGTGAATGTTACAGTGGAGGTCAAGAACGGCATCTTAAGGCCGGAAATGCTACAAAGCCGTATGGTTTACATTCTGGACTGTTGGGCCGACGTTTTTGTGTGGTAAGCCCCTGTCAGTTATTCGGTCATCACTGCTGAACCTGCTTGCCTCAGTTTGGGCCCAAGTTCATTTTGGTTGAATATAGTGAGACTGACAAGACATCCGCTAGTTCAGGATGTGCCCGATGCCTGTTGCCTTTGTAACGGTTCTTTCTTGACAGGTTCGGGAAGAAGTCAGCGCGTTTGGTACGGGCGGCAGCATTGAAGCTATCGCAAGAACTGTGCGATATGCTGCCACGACCGGACTTTGCCTTGGTCACTCGTGTTCTGGAAGGGTCAGTCAATTGTTCAACCGCTGGCGGTAGAGTTTCACCACTGGTAGTATGCCTTGCTTGCAGGACGGAGAGTCAAGTCTTCAAATCCAAGTTTGAAGGCTGGGACGATGTGATGGCGGTGGACTTTACGCGGACAGCCGAGAGCGTCATCCGTCGCGGTGTCGACTTGAAGCAGATCCTGGAGAAGGACCAAATCAAGACGGATCTGACGGCATTGTTTATGCCTAGACAGAGCCCCATGCCGGCCGACGAAGCGGTAATCAAGCCATTCTTCTGACTGTGGCAAACTTTTCTCTTATCACATATCACCGCCTGCTCAACGTGCGCTTTTGTTGTTTTGTAGAAAGCGGTCATTGAAGAATTTAATGAAGATCTGGAGAGAATGGAAGCTTTTGTCTTGGAGGGCAAGAAGTTTGTCCGCTTGCCCGAACGAGAACAAGGTAACAAGATGAGCGCTGCTGGTTTGCACTTAAAAGTCTTGATGTCGGTGACGGCCGGTAATCCGCGCTCTAACGGAATAGCGTGAAAGTTGGCATGTTGCTCAAGCTGTGATGTTTTGGATAGGCCATTTCTACGCGGGTGAATGCTACGTCTTCTTGTGTACATACTGGGTAGCTGCTCAAGAAGGCAGCGAGGAGGAGGAAGAGAACGAGAAGGAGCCGGAAGAGACGCAGGTTCATACTGTCTACTTTTGGCAAGGTCGCGACGCCGGAAACATGGGCTGGCTAACCTTCACCTTCAGGTAAGTTCGCCTCTGACACAAAGGATAATTAAGCGCCATACCGGTATTTGCCAGCCGTAAAGCCATGAATGAGATATCGAGTGAAATAGTTGTGATGGGTGAGGCATAAGACGCCATTGCTTTTCGTGGCTAACAGGGCGCCTATTCTTTGATAGCCTGCAGAAAAAGTTTGAGCAAGCCTTCAAGAATACGCTGGAGGTGGTGCGGATGCACCAGCAGCAGGAGAACCTCAAGTTCCTCTCTCACTTCAAGTCCAAGTTTATCATCCATCGAGGCAAGCGGAGGGAACCGGTGGATCGGACCAGACTGGCCCCACCGCGCTTATACCAGCTTCGAGTCAACGACTCTTTGATTTGTGCCCGATGTATTGAGGTTAGTCTCTGGAAGTCATGTATTGCTAGTTATCCTACTCCGTCTCCCAGCATACAGATGGAGCGTTCATCCTGTCTATAGGTGGATGCTAAAGCCACCAGTTTGAACTCGGTCTTCTGGTAAGTTCTTGGCCTTTCGTCGTGGCATGAATGCCGGAAGACGGCTAATCCTTCACCCTTCTCTTTCCAGCCATGTTCTAAACGTCCCGTTTGATCGGTCGGCCAGTAATGGTATCATCTACCTGTGGGTGGGCAGTAAAGCTTCCGAGGAGGATGTACAGCTGGCTAACGAGCTGGCCAAAGAGATGACCAAAGTACAGTATATCTGAAGCGTCGAGCCTCCGTGGCACTTCGTTAAGCTTTCTGCTAATTTACCGGTTTTCCCCTGCTGCTGTTACAGTACCACTACACAATGCAAATCGTCAAGGAGGGGGAGGAACCCGATAACTTCTTCTGGAACTCGTTGGGCGGAAAGAAGCCCTATGACACGGTATGTTCGTGCTCCAAACCACACCCTCATCGAAGCAAAGGAACGGGCCATATGTCATGGCGTTTTGTCTTGCAGAGCGCTGACTTCCTGCTCTACAGTCGATTGTTTCGCTGTTCCAATGAGAAGGGCTATTTCACAGTCTCGGAAAAGTGCGCTGACTTCTGCCAGGTTAGTCAACCTTAACAGCTGTCTTGGGGGTTTTTTGGATAAGCTATTCGCCGCGCGAACCTAATCAAATGTTTGGCTTGAACGGTTACAGGACGATCTGGCTGAGGATGACATTATGATTTTGGACAACGGAGAAGAAGTTTTCTTGTGGGTCGGCGGCAAGTCCAGCGAAGTGGAAATTAAGCTGGCCTTCAAGAGCGCTCAGGTACATCGGAAAAAGCCCTTGTGTGAATAGACAGTCGTACCAAGTTGTGTATGACTATTTCAATGGTGGCAGGTATACGTGCAAAACTTACGGAACAAACAGCCGGAGCGTCCGAGGAAACTCTTGCTGACCGCCAAGAACAAGGAATCCAAGAAGTTTACAAAGTGTTTTCATGGATGGAGCGCGCATAAAGCAACGGTACAGTAATCGAGCTAATTTAGTCTACGAAGTCTTGCACCACAAACCTTTCATAACAGATCATAATCGTTAATTAACCCATTTCTGACGAACCGTTTGTTCAATTTGATTCTGTCTTTTTGTACAATGACAGTTTTGTTTGTAGTTTCACATTACCAATACAACGGTTCCTAGGCCTGAATGGGTACCGAAAGCGTGAAACGTACTCGAGTACTTTGAGTAACTCCGCTGTAAGAAGGTGGGCTACCTGTCAGTGGCGGTTAGTGACAATCGAAGAACGGAGGCCAAGCGAAGGACATACGTAATGAACATTTACACTATAAAGAATAAGTTGCCACTCCCGTTCACTTTGCAACTGTAGCTACGGCCTTGCTCCGCCCCTCTCGTGACGTGTAACAACATTTTGCTTTCCGGAGCTCCCCTTTTTTTCGAAGAATAGCGTAATCGGAGTTACGGTTGGCTAGCATTGGGAAGCATGGTGGCTGCCCAACTATTCAACGCGTATCCTA